AKCCRKRTWWTTTWYMTTTTTATTTTTGCTTTCCCCTTCAAAAAAAATATATCTGAGTTTTAAATATGAACCATGTTGTAACGATGAACTGTTAATTAACCCCACAGGAGCGCTGAACAGTGAGGACATCAGTGGATGTGGACAGCAGCCATGCCAGAATGGTGGTGTGTGTGAAAGCCACAGCGGAGGATTCCGATGCCTTTGTCCCCAGAAGAGCCAAAATGGCCGCCTGTATGTCGGGGAGAACTGTACGGTTGAACTTTCAGGCTGTGACYAAAGTCAATGTGAGAATGGAGGAGTGTGTTCTGTGCAGCACACACACTCYTGCATCTGCCTTCCAGGCTACACCGGGCCTACATGTCAGACTTCCAGCYTCTTCTCATTTGAGTCCCCGGGCTACATGTTCGTTGAGACGCAGCAGCTGGACCCGGAAGCTGCACTCAATTTGACTTTCAGCTTCAGGACAGAGAGAGCAGCCGGCACCCTGTTTCAGCGTCGAGTGGACGACCTGCTCCTCAGCATCGAGCTGACAGGTGGACACCTCTGTCTCCTCAGCCTGAGAGGCCAGGGCTCCAGCACTCTGGTTCAGGAGCTGCCTGAGTATCTGTCCAACAACAAGTGGCACACGGTGGAAGCATCGCTGGGGGGCGTGGTCAGCCTCGTCAGGCTGCTGTGCATGGAGGGCAGCTGCAGCAGAGACTCCAGCACTGAAGTCCAGCTGCTCCACCAGGCTGRTGCTCTCCCCGAGCCGGGAGCTGTTCGTCAAAGCCTCTTCATCGGGGCGGCCGGGGGGAACTGGGCTTTGGGCAGACCTGAGGGTGGGGAGGACAAACTGTCTGCTTTTCTGGGCTGCTTCAGAGATGTGTTCGTAAACTCTCATCTGGTGCTGCCTGCTGCAGTGCCAAAAGATCCCCGCACCCAGGTGAACGTCACAGCAGGGTGCAGCGACAGAGACAAGTGTGATGGAAGTCCGTGTCAGAACCGAGGGCGCTGCGTGAGCCAGGGCTGGAGGAGCTACATCTGTGAGTGCCACAGACCCTATGAAGGACACGACTGTGCAGAGGGTAGGACACCGAAARCTTCAAACTCTTCTGTTATCATTAAAMGAGACATATCCTGCAAAATCCACTTTTTTAGCTGTTGAATACATTTAWTTGTGTATTTGGAATCTCTGAGGCAGAAAAGTTGGATCTATTCTCTCCTGGTGCTAAAAAGATAATCTTTATATTCTGTTTGGTTCAGATTTTTCACTATTTTCTATGACGTTTTCTGACTTACATCAATTTATTTGTGACAGAACTTCTAAATAAAGTCTGGACTCACCAACTACAGTTTGGTGGTCTTCATCCTCCCCTGTTTCTGGGTCAGACTCTGGTTCTGGGTCAGACTCTGGCTCCCACATGTAAGGCTGGATGGACAAGTCTTCTCTTGTTGATATCTGTTAGTTAATTTGTAAATAAAATGTTTATTCACCACTATAGTCATAAACCCCTCTATGAAACTAGAATGAACCGGTCTGGAAGCTGGAGGGGTGCGGGGCATAGAGCGCCTCGTTTGGATTTAAAGAGACAGCCTCAAAACGAGTTGATCAGAGACATCTTAGAAAAGGGATAAAAGAGGGGCTTGTGGAGTTACAATAAAGAGGAATTCAAATGGAAGCATTGCAGTTATCTTTATATAGTACAGTTACAACTGAATGTAGAAAAGAAGGATTTAAATCACGTTCAGATTTCTCAGAATAAACTACTCAAAGCTGTAGTTCAGACCTGACGTAGGATTTTGTTCAAAAATAAAAAAAAAATTTCTTACCTGTTTTAGATAGCTCTTTTATTTTTTTAAAAAAAAGTCACTGATGATGAAGAAACTAATATTCAGTTCTGTTTTCTACTGAAGTGGCTACAGAAAAAACAAAAAATAAACAAAGATAGCTAGTTCCATTTTCTTTGAAAGCCAAAACACAGATCTGATGTTAATTTATTGCAGGTTCTTGTAGCAACTTGAAAAAAAACAGAAGGATTAATTAATTGTTGTTCTCAGGAACCAAACTAACTGTTATTTACTGTCTGTTTCTTTGCCCTGCACACTGTTTTGTTATAGAGGTAAAAAAAAATGTTTGTTCAATGTATTTAATAAAATACAAACAGGCAGAATTGAAAAGGTACTGTGGCTATAACAAATCAAACATTATGGATTTTGAGATTGAGGATGCTGTACATTATTTTTCCATCTTTGTGCTCAGAAAATCTGATTTCTGATTACCGGTACAAATGGAATACACCCATTAGTCTCAACCCCAGAGACCATTAGATATTAGAACAGAAATCAAAACAATACAAGCATTCCAACTTAAAACACCAACCTTTTTTGTCACTTCAGTAGAAAATGAAACCAAATATTAGTTTATTTAGTTTATTTATTTCTTCATCATCAGTGACTTTTTTTAATTGAAGAGAAAATAAGAGAAAGAGAGAAAAACAGAGAGAGAAGTAATTAGAAAGATTGAAATAGCGATTAGACGTATATTAAATATACACCAACAAAACACAGGACCACACACCCAACATCTGTCCTGAAAAATAAATGGATAAATACATGGAGGGCATATATAAAAATATACACATATCCATACATATATAAAGATATACATACATACATGCCTATATTCATAAATATTGTCAGTATATACACACAGACATACAGGTGCTGGTCATAAAATGTTGTTTAACAATTCGACCAAGCCGAATTGTTAAACAA